AGTGTTCCAGTTCTGGTCTAACTTGTACCTTTGTATATTTTTAGCAAGACCTCCTTGTTTTTATAATCCATTCCCTTTTTGAATAAAGGCCAACCTTGCATTTGCCATTGCAATACCGCTGAACTTGTATACTTGTTTTTTGTGTTTAATAAACAAGGACTCCTAAACCCCTTCCTGCTGTAGCTTTTCTGTAGTTTTTTTCTACTCAACTCCTGTAATTTTCCTGCCAAAATAGAACAAAGTACAAAAAAAAAATAAAATTACAGCACAGGATCAGGCCCTTCAGCCCTCCAAAGCTGCACCAACATGCCGTTTATCACAACTAAAATCCCCTAACCTTCCAGGGACCATATCTCTCTATTCCCATCCTTTTTATGTATTTGTCAAGACTCCCTTTAAAAGTCGTTATAGTATCTGCTTCACTACCTCCCTCGGCAGCGAGTTCCAGGCACCCACCACTATCTGTGTTAAAAAAAAACTTGCCTCGTACATCACCTTTAAACCTTGTCTCTCGCACCTTAAACCTATGCCCCCTAGTAAATGACTCTTCCATCCTGGGAAAAAGCTTCTGACTGTCCACTCTGTCCATGCCTTTCATAATCTTGTAGCCCTCTACCAGGTCGCCCCTCAATCTCCGTCGTTCCAATGAGAACAACCCAAGTTTCTCCAACCTCTCCTCATAGCAAATGCCCTCCATACCAGGCAATGACCTGGTAAATCTTTTCTGTACCCTGGCCAAAGCCACCACATCCTTCTGGTAGTGTGGCGACCAGAATTGAACACAATATTCCAAATGTGGCCTAACCAAGGTTCTATAAAGCTGCAACGTTACTTGCCAATTTTTAAGCTCAATGCCCCAGCCAGTGAAGGCAAACATGCCATATGCCTTGTTGTCTACCTTCTTCACCCGCATTGCTACTTTCTCAGTGACCTGTGTACCTGTACACCCAGATCCCTCTTCCTATCAGTACTCTTAAGGGTTCTGCCATTTACTGTATATTTTCCATGTAGATTAGACCTTCTGAAATACATTACGTCACATTTTTCTGGATTAAACTCCATCTGCCATCTCTCTGCCCGAGTCACCAACTGATCTATATCCTGCTGTATTCTTTGACGGTCCTCATCGCTATCCGCAATTCCACAAACTATGTGCATTCACAAACTTACTAATCAAACCAGTTACATTTCCCTCCAAATCATTTATATATATATATTACAAACAGCAAAGGTCCCAACACTGATCTCTGAGGAACACCACTAGTCACAGCCCTCCATTCAGAAACGCACCCTTCCACTATTACCCTCTGTCTTCTATGACCACGCCAGTTTTTAATCCATCTTGCAAGCTCACCTCTGATCCCATGCGACTTTACCTTCTGTGTCAGCCTGCCATGAGGGGCCTTGTCCAAGGCCTTATTGAAGTCCATGTAGACCACATCCACTGCCCTACCCATATCGATCATCTTCGTCACTTCCTCAAAAAACTCAACCAAGTTAGTGAGACACGAACTCCCCTTCACAAAACCATGTTGCTTCTTGCTAATATGCCCACGTGTTTCTAAATGGGAGTAAATCCTGTCTCGAAAAATCCACTCCAATAATTTCCCTACCACTGATATAAAGCTCACTGGCTTGTAATTAGCTGGATTATCCATGCCACCCTTCTTAAACAAAGGAACAACATTGGCTATTCTCCAATCCTCTGGGACCTACCCTGTAGCCAGTGAGGATAAAGATTTCCTTCAAGGCCTCAGCAACTTCCTCCCTTGCCTCTCTCAGTATTCTGGGGTATATCCCATCTGGCCCTGGGGACTTGTCTACCTTAATGTTTTTCAAGACCCCCAATACCTCCTCCCTTTTGATCTCAACATGACCCAAACTATCTGCACACCCTTCCCCAGACTCATTATCCACCAAGTCCTTCTCTATGGTGAATACTGATGCAAAGTACTCGTTCAATACCTTCCCCATTTCCTCTGGCTCAACGCATAAGTTCCCTTCCCTGTCCTTGAGTGGGCCAACCCTCTCCATGGCTACCCTCTTGCTCTCTATATATGTATAAAAAGCCATTTACGACAAAAATGTACAACATTACATTTTCCTGTCTATATCTCTTGTGTGATGTAATCTATGCTGTACATAGACTAAACAAGAAACACAAGTTTAAAACATCAGAAGGGTATTTTTTTAAGCTAGCAGTTTAGAAAGAGGATGTTTCTTGGTTTTTTTTTCTTTTTGTTTAGAGCAGTCTTAGTCCTTTGTAAAGGATTGCTGTATCGTGCAATGGTCCTGAGAATGGAATGGTATATATAGTTTCATGAACAGTCAGTTAGTCCCTGCCTGGAAGTGTTAGGGTAAAACCCTGACAAGGTTACATTAAAGCTGTATGCGTTTAAGCAGGTTATCATAGTTTCTTCCAATAGCTATCTGCAGTTCGAGTCTAAAGATGAAGTCACAAGTTGCTTAAACCTACCAAGGTGATGGACACATGGACTTTGGTGTGAACATTGTATGAGTGGTGTTTTGGGCTCTATACAAATGCTGTTCCACTGCCTTTCAATTTATAAAGGCTTGTGTAGGGATTAGACTTGTACTGTGTTTAAAAATTTTGAATTTATATTGTGAGCAGATGGTTTGATTTATTCTATTTTCATGTTTTCATTAATAAACTTCCATTCTTATTGGTAAAGTAAAATCTGCACCACTGAAATGCTTATATTTGAGTAAGCTACTACCTTGTTAAAATCAAACCAAATCGAAAAATGATCTGTCAAGTCAGGTTCCTGTATGAGTTCTGACTTGTCCAGTGATAACATTTGGCTGGGATTGTAACATTCTGAAGCATATGTACCATACTCATTTCTTGCTTTCTCACCTAATTCTGTATCATCTTAAAAACTCGGCTATAGTTCATTCATATTCCTCACCAAGTCCTTGGTTTACTTTGCTAGACGGTTGGTTTGTGATGCAGAGTGATGCTAACAGTGTGGGTTCAATTCCCAGTAACCGGCTGAGGTTACCACAAAAGACTGTCCTTCTCAACTTCTGGTCTCACCTTAGGTGTGATGACCCTCTGGTTAAACTGCCACCAGTCATCTCTCTCTGAGAGGCAGTTCTGTGGTCTGGTAAGATTATGGTGACTTTACCTTTTTAAATTAATATATTGTAAACTATTATGGCCCCAGATCTGATCCCTGTGCCACTCCATTAGTTACAGGTTGTCATCCTGAAAATGCCGCCTTTAACTCAAATCTCCATCTCCTATTTGTTAGCCAATTCTCTATCCGCACTGATATACTACCTCCAACATCATTGCCTTTTATTGTAAGTAGCCTAACATGCGGTACATTATCAAATGCCTTTTAGAAATTCAAAAACTTGTACTGCGTAAACCTGAAATAAGTTCTAATATGTCCGAGATGCATGTAAGGGCACTACTTAGCCCTCCTTGTCAGAGGTTTCCATGCCTCACTGTATTGAGGATGATGGTAGACCTTTTCTGATGGATCTGATTTGGGTGAAGTCGTCATTGATTGTAAATCTGTTTCTTCTCCAAAGGCAGGAGCCCCGATTTATTAGGAGGAACATCACCTGCACCTTTAGCATGATTGAAGGGTACAGTACCAGATGCAACAAGTCAGATGGGACTTCATCAATACCTAGTTTCAATAGGTGTGAGCTGGGTGCAGTGATTAATCATTGCCTGTAAATTTGTCATTGCAAACACAAATGGTTCCAGTTTGTTCCCAGAGCAAACGTGGCTTTTATTCTGTATGATTCTTGACATTTATTGAACAACAGCAAAGAAAAACATTTTCAATAGTTAGAAAGCTTTCCAGCATGGGATACTGCTGAAAATTCACTCGTGCTGATGAAAAGAACTGTTCTATGGAATTTCCTGAATTTGGCACTTTGCAGACTTTTGGTAAAATTCAGCTCTTAGCATTTTTCTAGAATTCCAGCAAATGGAAGTCTTGGCATCTGTGCATGAGCAGTCTCCATTCTGTTCCACAAGTTTGAAGTCCCCTTCTCATATGGAATGAGGAGACAAATGACTGGCGCTTCCCCTCTCTTTCTCTCATGCTCTCTCTCTCTCTCTCGTGCGTTCTCAAAAGGCAAAGAAGGGCAGAGAAGGGAAAAGATTCAATGTGACACAAGTGGGTGGCACAGCTATTGGTATGAATGCAGCTATAGGAAACGTGGTGAACGTTCTGTTGGCAGAAGGGGTTTATATTTGGGGGAATGGGGTAGGTGAGGTGAAAGCCATTGACGGAAAATGCTGCATGCAACAAAATTGGAGAAAATTAACTTTAACTTTAATGGGTTAGGTGGAGGTGGGTGCAGTGGCCGAGTTAGAGAGTGAGGTAGCAGAGAAATAGCACTTTGCAGAATGCAGAAGGCTTTGACCTTGTGGACTTGCTACACATTTCTCCAGATGTTGGAAACAGCCCCAACTGCATGACACCATTGGCCCATGTTGGCATGTGCCGTTAGTCTCCTCTGGTGACCTAGATGAAAGAGGTTAGCCCTCGACACTACCCCAACCATCAAGACCTGCAGGTTCCCATCAGCAAACTAGGGGTGCCATTTGCCTCTGTCAGACATTGCTTTACAGTTGTTTAGTTACTTGAACAGTAAAAGGCAGTTTGCAGCTTGCTGCATGTGAGATAGTCTGGACTTTAATTATGGCATCAGCAGTGTGAACGATGCAAGTTCCTGCCTTGACATGTGCTTAGAAGGCTGCGGATCAGAAGAGAGTACAAAAATGGAGGTGGGGTGCAAGAACAGGGTGAGCAGTGTACAATTGCATGAGCGAACTTGCTAGGGCTCATGAAAGTAAGTCCTTCATGAAAATTTGACCTCAAGTCTTTTTTAATATACAACTAACATGTTGTATTTTTACCAGAAGAAAAAATGATTACAAAAAGAGTCCCGAGTGCACTCAAAATTTCTCACTATTTGTTTTATGCAGGGAGTGTGTTGCATTGATGAATTTGATAAAATGGATGTGAAAGATCAAGTGGCAATTCATGAAGCTATGGAGCAGCAAACTATTTCAATTACGAAGGCTGGTGTGAAGGTGGGAATAATATGCTGTAATAAATGTAGCTTGTGGGAGCCAAAAAAGACTTTCAACACAAGGGAATAGAAAAATCACTCTCACCCAAAATATTGAAGCTTTTTGTAAACTACTTTTATTTATTAAACAATATAAAAGTGAATGAAAAATTGCAACTTGGTGCTGAAATCAAGAAAGTTCATGCTTGCCATGAAAAGTTAAACTTATTTCTCAGCACTTAAGGACTTGAGAGTCTGGTCATAATGCTGTGCTGTCTGACTGTGTGGAGATGACGTTTGGATTGATAACTTTTGACTTTCTGTCTTGTGACATCTTATATTTGCCCTAAATCTTTTAATGTTAAATATTTGGAAGACTCTGAAGCTATTATCTATGGTCTCACCATAAACACCATGCTCTAACTCCATCCCTTTCCCTGTAACAGACTAAAGGCTCACCTGGAGATAGTAGGAACTGCAGATGCTGGAGAATCTGAGATAACAAGGTGTAGAGCTGGATGAACACAGCAGGCCAAGCAGCATCAGAGGAGCAGGAAGGCTGATGTTTCGGGCCTAGACCCTTGTTCATCCAGCTCTACACCTTGTTATCAAAGGCTCAACTGGAGTTTCTTTCCAAACTCGGTGACCCCAAGTCTAACACAGTGTGGAGCTGGAGGAACACAGCAGGCCAGGCAGCATCAGAGGAGTAGGAAAGCTGATGTTTCGGGTCGTGTCCCTTCTTCAGAACTGGGGAAGGGGAAGGGAACTGGGAACTAAATAGAGGGAGGAGGGCTGGGGCTGGGGGAAGGTAAGTTGGGTGGTGATAGGTGGATGCAGTAGTGGGTAGGGGGAATTGGTTGGTGGAAAGGGTGGGGCGGACAGCTGGGGAACAAGGAGGACAGGTTGTGTCAGGTCAAGGAGGCGGGGATGAGAGTGATATTTGGATGTGGCATGAGGCCAGAGGTGGGGGAGTTTTTTAAAACTGGAGAATTCTATGTTCAGGACATCGGGTTGTAGGCTGCCGAGGTGGAATATGAGGTATTGTTCCTCCATTTGGTGAGCCCAAGATATACTTCTGTCCACCGTCACTAAAACTGCCTATTGCCAACTAACTCTGCCCCTGTTTCAGCAAATCTATTGAAACCTGCAGCTGTTCCTTTTGTTATTTCACCCAGCTGGCCTCCCATGTAATAGCTTGTACACTTTATACCAAAGTTCTGCCATTGTCCTTTTTTATTTGTAATGTGGGTGCCTCTGGCTGGGTCAGCACTTATTGCCCCATCCCTGAATTCCCAGACGATATTCAAGAGTCAGCCACATTGCCATAGTTCTTGAGTCAGAGGTAGGACAGAACAGGTAAGGACAGCGATTTCTTTCCCTAAAGGACACTTGTAAAGCTGATAGGTTTTTATGATAATCAACAGTGGAAATGGGCTAGCTCAACATCTGCCATGCTGGGATTTGAAGCCATGTCTCCGGAACATTTACCAGAGGCTGTTGGCATGGAATGGGTCAGTCACATTAAAATTGTGAAAGCAGTATCCTGCTGTCTAGCCAAAAAGTGTGAGGGAACTAATCCCTGGGAGTTGTCGTTGTCCTCTTTTGGTCCATCATCCATCTGAAGAAGAATGATCCTTGATAAGGACTGTCTGAGGAGAACTGTCCTCTGCGCCTGAGCACTTGATATATCCTACTTCTAGGAGTAGGTAGCTTACTGCTGTCGATCAGTTGTCTGAATCCTTTTGGCCAATGACCATGGGGCAGCTAATCATGACATTAGATGGCAATTATCCCCTTGCCCACCTCAATTTGAAAGTTAGTTTTCATTCCTTCAAAGAACAAAAACCCTGCAATCATTAAACGGTAGTGTGATAATTTTCTTATACCTTTAGAGGGCTAGTTACTACTGTAGCAGTTAAATGAGAGCTGCTGCTATGCAGGGAGTACTAAGTATGGAATACTAAGCGAACACTGTTTTTAAAGAGGTCCCCGATTTCCAATAGTAGGTAGGCATCCCAGGTCACAAACCAATGAAAAATGATTGTATAATTGCACGAATTTGTACTTTGGCTAATGTGGGAATGCCTAATATTTTCAACCAGAGGCTCAGGTGAACTATATTGAATCTTCTAAGTTTGAGGGATTGTCTTGAGATTAATGACTTTACGTTCTGTAACCGTTACTTATTTTGGACTTGAACTGTTTACATTAATAAGCTATTCAACTCTGTGAAGATTTATTTTGCTCTCCACTAAAGTGCATGTCGAACTGTGATTTGCAGACTGTGATCAGGAGTGCCATCACTGTCTTTGATATTGACCATTATACACAATTCTCTTTGATGAGATCTAGTTTTGGCTTCCCAAGGCTTTGTTGCTTACCTGCCTGACACACTCTTATCCTGAATTTGGCCTGATTTAGCTGTAACGCCAGCTTCAAACTTTAATTTGCATATTTGCAATCACCGTAACCAAAAATCATTTTACCCCCTACTGATCCTACTCCAAATCCCTCTGTAGAAACATGAACGAACAAGCAAGCTGTAGAAACATGTGTAGCAATCTTCCACCAGCAAAAATATTTTGAAATTCTACAATGCTTACTATTGTACTGTTTCTTTGGAAATAAGGCTTGATCTGGTTATCTTATGAACAATAAAATTACTTGTAGATCAGTCAAAGCTACTGTGCTATTTTTATATTATGTATTTTAAGAATTTGGTTTAATGTGTTGGCATTGTTTCCTGGATTCAAAGCTTTCCCCAGTTACCTACAAATTTGTGTCTGTGATTAATATAATGAGCTACTTCTATTTTATTTGAAACAAATCTACAGTATAAATCTTTGTGTGCTGCATAATTATTTGTTCCATCTCCTAGGCTACATTGAATGCTCGAGCTTCTATTCTTGCAGCAGCAAATCCTATAGGTGGGAGATATGATCGGTCCAAGACTCTCAAACAGAATGTGAACTTTAGTGCTCCAGTCATGTCCAGATTTGATCTATTCTTCATCTTGTTGGATGAATGCAATGAGGTAATTAAACAAATAAACTTTGACCCAGATCTCCAGATGGAATCTATAACAATCATTCTGACGTTTGCCAGTGTTGCATGTCAGGACACAGTGAAATTCCTGCCCCCATATGCATCATTCACTTATGCTAGAATTCCAAACTCTCCAACTCTACAAGCCTGTTGAAATTTATTGGGTGTTCTTTCTTTCCCTGCATTGCCCCTATACCTTGTGTGTACCGTGTTTTATAATAAGGTGAAGAGCAGCAGATTGCATGACAAATGTCTCCAAGGGTGGGTGGTAGACTGGACAACATGAATCTGACTCAATAAAACATCTTGCTCAAAAATGGGAAATTTCAGAGCGCTATCTTTCTTTAATCTCTTTGCCAATGCTGCTAGATCTACCGAGTATTTGCATTATTTTTCTTGCTTTTATTTCAGATTTCCAGCATCCCAGTACTTTATCTTGCTTTTGTAAGAGACTTCCAAAATCGGGAATGCAGAGTAAATTCAACTTCCATAAAGTTTCAACTATATAAATATTATCCAGCATTTTAATAAATAATTTGAAGTTTGAATTGTCTGTTTCCTCAGGTGTGTTTGGCTATACAAATATGCTGTGATGATGACAAAAGGTTGTTTTTCAGGTGACAGATTATGCAATTGCCAGGCGAATTGTGGATCTTCATGCGAGAAATGAAGAATGTGTTCATAGGGTTTATTCTCCAGAACACATTCGCCGATATTTGCTGTTCGCACGGCAGTTTCAACCAAAGGTAGTGTATTCTAACTCTTTTGAACCTTTTAAAAAATATTCACCTTAGTTTTGCATTATAAATGTCATATTAAGAATATTATATTAAAATTCTGTATTGGATTTGATTGTCATGAGATCTTTGACCTCCATTAGTTGGGAAATGAGTTATGATTGGCTCAGTGCCAAACTTTTAGAAACTTCTGTGTATCAACAAATCTGCACATTGTTTTGTGCCTCTGAGATTTGTTGAGATTATACCACACCAGATTGAGAGAGAACAAGGAAATACTTTTTTAAAATATGTGCCCTCATGCTTGTAGCTGAATTTCAGTTCCTCTGTAACCATGCCCACGGGTTTGACTTAAGCCGTGGGCAGTGAACACAAGTACTCAAAACAAGCTTTGAATATTTAAACACAACAGGTAACACTAGTGATTGTGCTCACTCGTGTTATACAAAACCCTTCAGATTAGATGATGACGTGCAATTTGCCTGTTCTAGAAAGCATAATTATGTAACTAGAAGAAAGGAAATTTTTTTTTATTTTCCTGGCCAGTTTTTTGCTCTCAACCAGTGCCACCAAAAGCATGCTATATAACCCTTTAATTTATTGGTCTTTTACAGGTAAAGTAGCTGCCACATTTGTCCAACTAGCATCAGAACAATACAACTAAGTTCATGATATGTGGACTTGTTTGGAATTGCTTCTGATTTGTAATTTGCTGCTTTATAATTGCAAGCATACCCACTTTTGACCTCAAGATGGAGGGAATTTCATTGATGAAGTAGCAGAAGGTGGTTAAGTCTAGGACACTATCCTGCGGAAATCCTATATAAAAGTGTCTTGGAGCTAAGATAGCTGACCTCCAGCAACCATAACCAGCTCTGCTTCTGTCAAGTATGACCCCCCTCCCCCTGCCGATTCCTATTAACTCCAGCTTGTTAAGGCTCAGTGATGCCAAGGGCAGTCACTATTACTTCATCAATAATGCGGCCCTTTTGTCTGTGTTGGAACTAAGGCAGTAATGAGGTCAGGAGCTGAGTGGCCCTGACAGAATCCAAATTCAGTATCAGTGAGTGAGGTATTGTTGTTTGGTAGCACTGTTTGATGATCGCTTTTATCTAATGATTTAATTGAATGTTACCAATGATTGAGAGTAGACTGGATGGGTTGTAATTAGCTGGCTTGGATTTGTCCTGCTTTTTGTGTACAGGAAATACCTGGGCGATTTTTCACATTGTTTGCTGGATATCTTTTGGAACAGATTGGCTAGACGTGCACCTAGTTTTGGAGTACTATAGTACTATTGCGAGAATATTGTGGGGTCCATAGATTTTATGCTATCTAGTGCCTTCAGCCATTTCTTGATAATACATTGTCTGAATCAAATTTTCTGAAGACTGGCATCTATGATGCTGGGGGACCTCTGGAAGAAGCTGTGATGGATTCTCCAGTCAGCACTTTTGGCTGAAGACTGTTGTGAATACTTCAGCCTCCTCCCTGTGCATTTGTGCTGGATATTTGCCGCCTCCCAGTGAGTCCATCACCATTCACAGCAAGATGTGGCAGGACTGTAGAGCTTAGATTTAATCATTTGGTTGTGGAACCACTCAGTCCAGGTTATCACGTGCTGCTTTTGCTATTAGGCCTGAAAGTACACCTGCTTTGAAACTTCACCAGATTAACGCCTCATATTTAGATGAGGTGCTGCTCTGGTATGCCCTCCTGCACTCTTTGTTGAAGTCAGTAAGCTGTTATTGAAACTGTAAGCACAGATTATTTCCAAGTCTCTTGGGCAGACTTGTTTAAAGGGCCTGCTATTTAAATAACTTGGCATCTTCACCATTTCACAAATCATAACTTGTCTTTATGAGCATTTAACCTCTTCTTAAAACTTTGCACCTCTAACATTCTGGGTTTAGATTTTTGCTCCAGCAAAGATGCTATGTTTGAAGTCTCAGCTAAGTTTGTTTCCCTCTTTTGATTCCTGTCTCATTCCATTTCCTGAAAATAAGAACTGTTAGAAATGGGGAACAACTCCCAAATCCATGTTTTTAGTACTTTTTAAAAATTTACTGAGAAGAGGTTTTTATCAGTATCACTTTCATAGTACAAAACTGGGAACTATAAGCAGTGACTTTAATAAGACAATAACCACAATTTCAAAACTTGCACATAATTCTGAAAAGTCACAGCTTACAGCAAATGATGAGGAAAAGTAAACTGGTTATCCTCAGGCCTCAGATGCATTTTACTAAAGAGGGGAAAAAAAAAGCTCCTTCCCTCCCAGAGATCTGGCTTCTTCCTTAAAACTTCATACCCGAAGCTGTTCAGCTACCTGGGAGGGAATCATATAATTATTAGCAGGTAGAAGGTCTTTGTCATCATTAACTGGTCCCTAGTCTACAGACCAATCAGCTACATGTTGCTAGCCTTATCTCTCTCCTTGGCCGGCCCCAAAGCTCCAGCTCATCTGTGCTCATCAATAGTTGTGTAAACAGCACTTTCAATGTGTATCAGATAATTTGCTTTTTAAAAAAGTACAGCCCTTTCTTCAACAATCCTTGGCTTTTACATTAGTCACTTATCTATATTTCCCAATGCAGAAAAATAAAAATGTGCAGTCTTCAAAGTTTCCTTTCTCCAGGCGCAGAAACTAGAGGCTGGATTTTACTGCAGACTTTGGGTCCCAGATGTTAAACAAGACAATCGGTTCTGAGCCAGCACTTGTTCATAGCACAGCAATCCTGACAACTTTTTACTAGAAGCAGTCATCTGACTAGTTACCTCAAGGTTTGGAGTCTATTAAGAGCAGTGTGTGAGCTGCTTATGTTGGCACTCCAGTCAGGGGCCCAACAACTCTGAAGCCTCAACCAATCCATCAAGAGAAGTGGGCACAATTAAGGTGACCTCCAATGTGCACCACTTAAAATGGTGGTTGATAGAAGTTGAAAAACCCATTTGATCAGAGGGGAATTTGCCTCTAGTTTTAAGTTTGGGCTGTTGTCGTGTTGCCTTTTCCGCTTGCACCCTTCGTTAAGTTATGGAACCTTTTGAGTCAAAAGAAGAAGAATGCTGAGGAATTGACATTGAAATAGGCTAATCAGAGTTGTGTGCAATGTTGCTATTGTTTGCACGTTTAGAATCCAAAACAAACCTTGCCTGTTTTCTTTTGAGATTCCATTCTCCAGTCAAATAACGAAGTCCTGGATGCATTTCAACTTTCTTTTAAATTTTAATTTTGTTTCAGATGTCAAAAGAAGCTGAAGAATTCATCGTTCAGCAGTACAAACTCCTGAGACAGCGTGATGGTTGTGGAGTTGCAAAATCAGCTTGGCGCATTACCGTTCGGCAACTGGAGAGCCTGATTAGATTATCTGAGGCCATGGCTCGTATACATTGCATGGATGAGGTGATAATGTGTTTTATACACCAAATAGTAAATACTTATGAACTCCAATTGCAAAATGCTTGGGAAGGGGGAAGAAAATAAAGGATAGCTAAATTTAAAAATTGATACTTCTTGAAATATTTGTTCATAGGATCTGGGTGCTGCTGGCTAGGCTGGCATTAATTGCCTAACCCCAAATTGCCCTGGTGAAAGTGGTGTGCTGTCAACTTGAACTGCTGCAGTCCTTTATGGAAAGTGACAGGGACATTGACGTTGCTAGGATTTGTATCCAGAAAATGATTTAAAGTTAATATGAATCATTTTCCAAGTCCTTACAGTTTTTTTCTCCCCCTTCTTCTTTTGTATCCTGTTGTGAATTCCTGAAATGTTGGAGATGCAACCAGTATTTTATAAACATCGATTTAACTGACTTTTCTCTGATGCTAAAGAAGTTTATTAGTTCCTATCTAGTTGATAGAGCAGAGTTTGAGAATATATTGTGTGGACCAGCAGGGACATTCAGCTTTAAAACAAAGTTAACTGTTGGCAATGCAAAATATTAATTTTATTAACTGAATTATAGACATTATGCTGAGAAATGAAGTTTGGCCATTTGACTTTTTCACAATGTTGTTTTGTCTTCCTTTTAACAAAAAAAAATCTGAAACTGTGATGCACATCCTTTTCAAAATTTTTGCAATCTTTAATATTCACAATTCATTGGAAATTTTGTTCCTTCAAGTTGCATAAATTTTATTCATTGAAGCATTGGAGTCTTGTGAATTAAGATACCTCCCTTCCTCCTCCTCAAAACTTACCTCTTTGATTACATGTGCTTTATTTTATCATGCTCCTGTGAAAGACCCAGAATATTTCATTACAATTCATTAAAGGAACCGTAGAAGGTTTTGTTGTATTCACAGCTATGAGGCTGGAATTTGCTGGAGACTGATCCTATCTCCTTACACGTTGAGATTTAAGGAATGAAAAATCAGGAGGAAGGTCTGAGGAAGCTGAATTAGAATGGCTGAATTCAATGTCAAATCACATCCAGGTGAAATTAAGAATAAAGAAATGTCTAATTAAGAATGGGTGTGGGGAAGAGAAGAATAGTGAAAAAGTGAACAAAAGTAAAAGTTAACATGTTTATAATCCCAAGACAAAATTGGTACCCAAGTTGAAGAGCTGCGGTCAGGGCATAAGGATCAAGGCACAACTGGAAGATATTGGTCATGTCACAAATTTTTGCGAACAGTCTGTAAAGTGATTTTTAGATAATTAGCAATTTGAAGGACATTGGGCTGAATTTCCCACACCCTGTATCGGCACTGGTGAGTCAGTTGGGAAATATGGCAAGATCAGAAATGTGTGATCCTCGACATTGGGGAAGAAAAGTCCAACTTTCCACCCAAAGTTTGAACAGTGAAATGAGAATCTGGTTAATGAGCAGTGAGAGGCCTATTTATATGCATTTTAATCTCCATACCTAAACCTTCTCTTATTTATCTGCAATTTCCAATTCTCCCGTTAGGCAAAGAGGAATGAGATGGTTCATCTCTAGTTCTTAGCTTGCTTCCTTGTTTTAACTCAGTTAGCTGCTAATTTGATGCTTGCAGTATCTCTTCCATGCCTTGCTCTGCATTTTTATGTGTGGGAACTTGGAGGAGATCATGGCCAATTCGGTTGGTACGGAGGGCAATACAGAGAGAAAGGAACTTGATGTTTGGGTGGTACCTACCCTGAGGCAGAGCCTGCAACTATCTAGCTATGTTGACTTCACTCCTTATTGAAATCACAGGTTTCGAATTGAATGGAAAATGACTGACTGCCACCACATCTGGAGTGGGTGCAGTAAGTTTTTTTTAATCCTTTCGAGGGAGGGGGATCCATCTTAGTGTGATGGGAGGTCCTTCACAGAATATTAATATAAACAGATTCTTGCAGTGCCGCCAGAAGACACTTGTTATCATACGTATGTAGATCTTATGCATTCACCTACTGTGTCAGCTAAAAACCCTGGCCGCAAGTAGCCACATCATTCAATATTATAAATCATTCCTACTAATGGCTGTGAGGCACAAGTGATATCACTTGGGCTGTAAAGGTTCACATAGTTGCCACAGTCACATACAGTATACAAGTTTCTGTTGTCTGGATAAGATACAGGAACTGCTCACTTCATACTTTCAACCAGAAAATTTCCACAAGATGGTCTCACTTCACTTTATGGAGCACAGAGGATCGTTAACATTGTTGTGCATTCCTCTTGACCATGAATATTGCCTGGTTGGCAACTTCAAACCAGGTTGGCAGGGTGTGGTGCTGCAGTTGCCTCTAGAGAACAGTCGAGAGGAAAGAGAACGGTGTTCCTCTTCACCATATCCATCTGGCTCTCCAGGTAACTGTCAGCAAGTTGGAGTGCCTGCATGTTTCTGTCAGCTATCTTTGAGGCATTCCATCTGGTACTGCAGCCCTGGAGGGCAGTTCCTAGCTGGTAGCGATTAACTTAGTTGTCAGCTGGGTTTTACATATGGTGTTGACAGTGGCAATTCTTAAAGGTCTCAGCAGTGATGTGTAGCTTTACTCCTGGCAAGACTGCAGTGCCATACAGATGTGGTACATAATGAGGTGAGCAGCATAAAATTACATGTGCAATCTCACAAGGGCTCACAGAGAGAAACACTGACACCTCACAAAATTATCACAAGCTGAATTTTACCAAAGATTAGCTCACTTTTCCTGTGATTGTAGAACAGTGTGCCATATTCCACTCTTAAATCGTATGAGATTCAAGATGTCTACTTATGCTTATTCAAGCATGACCTTGAAGGTGTCCAAGAAAATATATCTTGTGATAGCTTTGAACAGGACAGTAATCTATTTGAAAACCAGTTAATAAAATAGCCATCTTTTATCTATCACTGTTATTTCTTTCCTTATTGCTCTTTAAAAGGCATAGGCAAATGTGTAACCCAATTAGTTGATAGTAACCTTACTTCAGAGTTAGAAAACTGGTTCAAAACCCACTCCAATTGAAGAAATTTGTATATAATTGACAGATATCTAGAATGAAATTTTGTTTTATACCTTGGTGCAACATCGTCTTGAGTGCCTTCCTTTCATTAAGATGTTAAAATGGAGGTTTTATCCACAAGCTATGGGTAGTTCAAATTGTTGTGAAAGATCCTTAGGCACTATTTGAAGGGTGGAGAATGCTCCTGGATCCCTAGACAACATTTTTTCCTGCACTCAATAACAAAAAGCATGTCGGGAATTGTGGGGTGGGTGGGAAATATCAGGATGCTGTGTCCAGTGGAAAAGGCCATGGATGGTACTATGGTGTACCTTCACCACTTGGACTGCATGGTTTAAGATGTTAAAACCCTTCTCAAGAGCACCATTTAGCAGAAAATGATTAATTAAACCCAGATGGCTAGATTTTATTTAAAATGGGTGTCATTTACTATGAGTTGATTATTTTGATGTAAAGGTACCCTTTAAATGATTACTGGACTGCTACCCAGTATGTGGAAATGCACAGAAAAATATGGAGGTTGGGGGTATGTCTGGTTTAATTGGAGTGTATGGAACAATTTGATTTTAAGCATTAAGTGATTGAGAGTTGTAAACAATGAAAGAGGAATAAATTTATATGTCAATTAGGTGAGTACAAAGGTTAGGTGCAGGATAAACCCTACATGGTCTGGTTGCACAAAATGACTTATTTGTGTTGAAATTTCTACAAGTAAGTTTCACATTTAGTACTTACCTGCAGTCTGACTGGTGATTTTAAAATAAAGAATTGTTTCAATAACCTGGTCAGAGATGTTATGAATTCAATAGCATGTGAAATATCACAAGGCATATTTCACTCAAATAAATGCAATGCAAGGAGTGTTTGAATAATGTGCATTGAGTTCAAATCATGTAGATGAAGGTGTTGTGTACAATATTGAGTAAAAATTTATTGGAACAGTGAACATTTGGTTGAGTTTTTAAAATTTGTTAATGCACCCTATTATTTTTATTTTGTAATTTCTTTTATCATAGTTGGATGTCCACAAAAATAAATTCTAATTGACATCGGTTAGATTAGCCAGTAACAGTTCAAATTTGTGCTGTGTCCAGGTACAGCCAAAGCACGTTAAGGAAGCATTTAGACTGTTGAACAAGTCGATCATTCAGGTGGAAACTCCAGACGTCCACTTTGATCAAGAAGAAATTGAACCGACTGGTATGATTTTGTTGGCTTTAACTGCCTTTAAAATGTCTGCTCCTCTTCGGAAATTAAAAGTAATATGAATAAAACCTGTTAAACACATAGAAACTATCATCCCTGCATAGCTATAACCTATAACAGAACTAAACTAAACAAACAGTTGTATTAAAATAGAAAGTGGCTAATTTAATTGTGAACTCAATCGGTCACTGCTTGTGTTTTGATGAGGGTTATAATCGAGACATTATTCAATATCTCTGTGCAAAAGGGATTTGGAGGAGTGGTTGCTTTAAAAGATAATTCTCACCATTAATATTCTTGCAGCCTTGCTCAACACTTGTGTGTAAATGCTGAGCAATTATTTTAGGTTATTAGCATAAAGGCAATTTAGTTGATGAACTGGAAGATTTGTGTCATCCATTGAACAGTATTCCAATTAATTAAACATCTTGGGCAAAGGAGAGGGGAATAAAATAAAACACCAGTCACAGTTAAAATTGAAAGATGAAACTTTAAAGGAGCAAATGTATTATTTTCAGTCGTCATTGTTTCAATAGATCTTGCCTACCATTACTGGCACTGCCTTATATGCTGCTCTTTCTTTTCAGCTGGTAGTGCGTTTGACACTAGCCTGAAGAACAATGCTGGAAATGCTGGTGAGAATGTGGAGATGGAACAACACGTTCCTGACGCGCACAAGTCTGCCCTAAAAATGTCATTTACTGAGTACAAGAACATTTCTAATTTGTTGGTCCTACATATGCAAAAGTTAGAAGGAGGTATGTACAGTATAGTGTCTTATCTTTTTTTATTCTTGGGTTGTGACAAGGCTGCATTTATAGTTCTCTGGAGTGTCGGTAAACCTCTTCCCTGAACTCACTTTAAGTTGACATCACTTCTATATTGGCGCAAAGTGGAAAATTGCATGATGTTGACTTAATGACGTTGAAAGAAAGTCTTTGAGTGTGCAAGATGGTATGATTGTATGATCCATAAAAGCCAGAGAGATTTGGCTTCTCTTTTTACAAATTGTATCAATTTTTTGACACTTTTTTTTTTCCTCACAAACTCCTATCTCAGAACCCAGATGATTAACATACCTGCATATCATAATTTATGGTTTTGGACGAGTTGGTCCAGTGGAATATAAATTAATTTACATTTTAAATTTATGCCACAAAGTTAAGTTTTACTTGGATACTCTGAGGATACAGATTCCATCCAGATGAAACGATGTAACTCTTGTTGCGTGAACTTGACACAAGAATATTGTAAGAAATAAGAGTAGGCGATTCCACCCTCTGAATATGCTTACCATTGAATGAGATAATGGTTCATCTTTTTTATTAGCTTGTGGGATGTGGACGTTTCTGGGCAGGCCAATATTTATTGCCCATTATTTACTGTTCAGAGGGCAGGTTAGAGTGACCCACATCGCTGTGGATCTGATATCACATATAGGCCAGTCTGGGTAAAGATGGCAGACTCCCTTCCCTAAGGACAATCTGGGACTTCAACACCATTTTCCTGCCCTATCCTTGTAGCCCTTGATTTCTTTTTTAAATTGTGTAGAAATGGGGCTGTTGAGACATTTCAGTGCTACTCCCACATGTTGAATTAGCTGCACATGTTGAACTGTGAGTGAGGTGCTGGAGTCTGCCTAGGAAGACAGTAGCTGGTATAAGTGATGTAACTGGCCAATTGTCAGTCTGGAATGATGGCAAAGGGTCAGGTGTCAAACCCTGCCATTTTTTTCTGGCTGAAATACAACAGTGTGGTGAAATTTGAAGTGAAAATTGCATCTCTTCCCACTGTTGGAGCTAATTAGTTTGAGGTTTTGCTAGTCTGTACAGTGAATTTATCCTGCTAACTACAATACTGAAATATTAATTATATTCTGAAAGCAATATGAAATAAATTGAATTCTAGTTGTTCACATGGAGTACATAAATCCTTTCATTTACTACTTTCCCCAATTCCTGCCTAGAATATTTCTGTTCACCTTTCAGGTATAAGAAATGCAAGCAAGGCAAGTGATTACAATATCTAGAATGCAAAACTGAGTTTGAGTATTATGAGCCTTTGACTCTGTTGGATTGCTAGATATTGGCACTAAATGTTAGTTCTTGCTCATGAGAGCTGTGGGGTCCATGTCTGGAAGAGTGCTTGCACTAATTCTAAGGTCCAAAATTTTATAACTGGATATTTTGCTAAGATCTTGATTTTTGTTATGATCTTAGCTAGGGCTACAACTGAACAAGTCAGATCCCAAAATAGCTGGGTTTTTTTTCCTCATTTAACATGGCGATTTTTCACAGAAACATGAGGCTGCAGGTTTGGTTCTAACAATAATACATTCTTATGCAAATAAAATGAAAATAAAATAAACCCAATTGAGCTATCTTCATAATGCATTTGAAAGATTTCAAAACGGGCAAAACAACTCTACTCTCCAACACAAACCTGTTATGGTTACTCAAAAATCCAGGGAAATTCCTTCCCCCATCAAATCTGTAACTTTAACCTACCTGCTGCTTCTCAGTTCCAGTCCTGAGTTGTGAGATCTTTCCACTTAACAACTAGCATAACGGAGAGGTTAGACCCCGGTCTTCCAATAATTTGCAGAGTTTTATCTAAACATGCCTGATCTAGAATTTTTCCGTTGGCTCCTCTCTATCTAGGTAACTACTCCATTTCCTTTACTGCTCTGAACAATGTCTTTTTTTTTCAGTAGGAGAGACTGAACTTGTTTGTGACCATAGTCAGGCCTCTTTCAAACTGCCTAGAAGGTTTTGAACTAAATGTAATTAAAACTTGCACATCCTATCTCCTGTTGAATGGTTCGACTTTGTTTTCTCTGCAGATGTTAACTCCTACAGTATGAACAACCTTTCATTAACACTCTAGAATTCACATACTGGTTTAAAATCATGGTGCCAAAAAGACTGACCTAGTTTTTTTTAAATTCCTTGACACAAAAAAAAACAAACTCCATATGTCATAAAAACTGAAAGAACTGCGGATGCCATAAATCAGGAACAAAAACAGAAGTTGCTGGAAAAACTCCATATGTCAGTAGTTTAAAAGCCAAGCTGCATTGTAAAACAAGAAATTATATCTAATTGATATATATCTCATACATTTCGATCACGATTTAAACAGTCTCATAAGACTATAATAGTTTATTTGAATTTACACCGTATTACAATTTCCTGTTCATTCACATGTAATTTTTAATTTGTTAAATACAACTAGGAATGCATAAAAATATCTAGCAATTTGAATCAGTTGATAATTGTTTAATATGCTGCAAAAATCTGAAACTCTGTACAGTCATTGACTTCACCTAAAGTATGTAACCCCAACAAAAAAAGACTTCGAATTTTAGAATTTTTAAAATTAATTTGTTTCATTCCAAGATCACTGGGACAATTTTAGTCATACAAAGCACGTTTAGTTTTGAGATTCAGTATCCAGTTTTGGTGACTTCCATGTGTTTCCATATTTCTGGGTCTACACTGCATTTTAGAGATTAATCCTTGTATAATACTGAGCAATCAACACTCTTTGTGCTGTTAACCTTTTATAAGCTCTATTCTTCAGTATCACCTTTTTAAGTTTCAATAATTCATGGAAAAACGAGTCGAGTGCTGAGTGCATACCTCCACCACACTGTATGAATGCAATATTAAACTACATTAGAATGTTTTCTAAGCCACCACAATATAGTAGATGATACTTTCACTATCAAATGCTGCCATCAATCCAGAAAGGTGATGTGCTTATTATGTATTGTGCAGTGCAGTAATTGAACTTCAGTATTGGTGTGATGCCAAGAATATAGGTCATTTATCCCAATGATTGGATGAATGAATCTAAAGTATGTGCCTTTAGTTGTTTGTAAAGGGGAGTGTAGGTTGGGCTGAACTAACCCACGCTTATAATGGCCAAACCAAGCTGGCTACTGTTTCATTGTGATTCCATGATTGGGAAGCACTAACTGAGCTACCCTGAGTAGCTACATTAACAACCAATTTAAGATAATCAGTACCTCTTGTAAAATGGCTTTTGCTCTCGCTAGAAGAGTAAAAGCCATTCATACATAGGTACCTGTTCTCTGCAAATAAAAGAAATATGTTGAAGTTTTAAGACATTTTTCTGAAGTGCTGGGAGTTTAGGGAGCCTGTAATTCCCAATTGTTTTCTCTATGGCTACATCTATATCAATCAGAATTGTCTTGCTAACCAATCAGCATCCTCTTCACTGTAATATAAATTATTGTGGTTACTTGAATTTTGTCAATCTTGCATTTGCCCTGATGAATGCAAGATGGAAAGCTTTTAGCAATATCTCTCTCACTGCAGTATAAAATGTCTGTACTGCTTCTAGTTGATCTTTTTGTCTCATTAAATGTGAGGCTTCTTTTTCCTGATTGACTACCAACCTGAGGAAATGAATTTTTGCATGAAGAGCTTCCAACTTGCCCTGGAGTCTTCTGATCCAATTTGCATTCAATAACCTGCTCTGAAATGTCTGCTCACATTTTTGACAGCTGTGGCAGTTTTCACCACAGCAGTTGAGAAAATCACCAACGTTCTAAAACCAGCAACAATATTTTAAACAAAAATTCACCACGTTATTGAAAACCAATAAATTCACCTTTGTCTCTCAATGTCAACAGGTCCTTTAAAGAAACATTCCAGGATCTGATCTCCTCTCTCTTTCCAAATACTAAACTACTCTTCCTAGTCCATCCCCAAACTGTGTACTAAATTTTGTTGTAATATGTCTATTTAGTTTTTGAGATGTTTTGTTTACAGACTAACAAATGGGCCAAAATGTCAGTCGGGGACACCACCTCACTTTCCAACTGAGCACCTCGCAACCTTCAGGACTTGACATTGATTTCAACAACTTCAGGCCATGAATCTGTCCTCCATGTTGGAAGGCCCACCTCCCCTCTTCTCTTCTTCACTCTCTTCCCTGTCTGAGTGTCTTGTTTGCTCTCAGTACAGATGACCGTTTTTTCCTGTTATCAACATCTACTATTAACACCTATTGTTCATCTGTATCTCTTTTCGACCACATAAGCACTCCCTTTGTAAAGTGTACAAGAGCAAAAGGCAGTCTGTTTAACCTACTGCTCCTGCCATTACTTTTCCAGTCCCCTTTAGTTCCAAAGAGTCATATTGGACTCAAAACATAAATTCTGTTTCTCTCCATACAGATACTGCCAGACCTGGAGAAACTCAGCAAGTCTGGCAGCATCTATTGACAGAAAGCAAAATTAACATTTCAGGTCCAGTGACCCTTCTTTAGAACCTTTCAGAGCCATTCTGAAGCAAGGTCACTGGACTGAAAACGTTAACATTTCTTTCTTTCCATAAATGCTTCCAGACCTGCTGAGTTTTTCCAGCAATTTCTGATTTCCAGCATCTGCAGTTTTTTGTTTTCTTTAGTGTTTCTCCAGCACTGTTTTGATTTGAACGCCATCAATAAATGCAATTTGTTATCTTCGGTTATTGCTTGAACCAGTCCAGTCACCAACATTTTGTTCAAATATAAATCTGTTATTAAATGAACCACAATAAACCTCTTTTCTTCTCAACATTATTTTTAAACACTGTTTTGATAATTGAGAGTTGCAGTCGGTGTACCATTACTAACTCACTGCTATTTCATCGCAAACTTATCAATTTAAGTATGCCTGTGGTCACATCCCTATAATATGAATTGTCTGGCCTGTTTTGTATTTGCCTATATGCTGTTTGAACTGTCTTTGAGCAGCAGTTACTTGAAATGCTAAGAGAGCCCTCTTAACATCTGGCTTCATATGTGGTACTTGGTGATTTCTATTGGCAAGGTGATGAGCATCAAGAAGTTTGCTGCAAAACAATCAATTTTTGAGTGAAAACCTTGCATGATTCAGCATTTCTCGTCATTTCATAACTTAAAAGAGCTCAATTTTTTGGAAGATTTTGATAATTGTTGCTGTGCCTGTAATTGTAGTGAATATACTCAATGGGTTTCAGCACCAGCATGTGGGACCCAAACATAAGATCACAGTTTCTGAAAATATGTGCTTCAGGACTGCTGTTCTAAATTAGATGTGTTTACATTTTATTACAGTCGAAGGAGACGTGATTATGCAGAAAAGTGATCTTATAAATTGGTACCTCAAGGAGATGGAAAGTGAGATTGAAACAGAGACTGAATTGATTTTGAAGAAGATACTGATTGAAAAGGTTATTCAACGATTGGTTCACAATGTGAGTGTTTCATACAGCAGATTATTAATTGTCATAATTTTCAGCTATTTGAATATGGAGAGACCCTACTGATTGTATAGGTACATTCCAATACAGTCATCTTATGGCTGCTGTACAACATTTCAAACAAAACAGCAAAGAAAATGGTAATTACATCTTTTTAACATGCAGAATTTTTTAACATTGTAGAATTTTTCTGAATTGAGTACTAGGTTAGCCTCAGCTTGAAGATTGCACTATGGACACACAGATTTCAATAAGTCTATGATGGAAAACGTAGGAGACATATATGTCTTAAAAGGTTTCCTATAGTTCCTAAATTAACTCTGTAGATTTACCAGTCCATCCTGTTGTGAAAATCTAAAGAGGGATGTCAATAATTTGTAATTTTTGCTGTCCAAGTTGCTACTTGCAATGTTCTTTGTTAATCTGTTTTTAATGTAATTTTCTGGTTAGTCAAACTGCAGTTAGTCAGATGCATTATGCATTAGGCATTGTTCTAAGAGAAGCTTTAGATATGATAAATTTTGGCCAATTTGAGACTGAAAAAAACCTAAATAAAAACCAAAAGAACTGCGGATGCTGTAAATCAGGAACAAAAACAAAGTTGCTGGAAAAGCTCAGCAGGTCTGGCAGCATCTGTGGAGGAGAAAACAGAGTTAACGTTTCAGGTCCGGTGACCCTTCCTCAGAACTGAAAAAACTTGTTCACTCTAGTGTACATGTCACTTGCGACATGATATAGATCTGCTTTAAAACCCAAATAAATAAAATCCTCTACACGCTACAAAGACTTCAACAAACAGAACAGATCAACAAAACAAACTTCTTAAAAATGAAACCCGAAGGAACCAACACACCCCGATTCTACGGCCCCTCTAAAGTGCACAAGCCGGAAGCCCCCCTCAGACCCATAGTCTCCCTACCAGGCACTCCAACGCACAGATTAGCCAAAGAACTACAAAGAAGACTCAGGCACCGAGTCAACAAGTCACCCCACTCTATCCACTCAGCCAAAGAATTCCTCAAATCCATCAAATACGTAAAGATAGAGGATGAAGAGACCATGATATCGTTTGATGTCACTGCCCTATTCACATCAATAGACATACCATTAGCAAGGGAAACAATGACAACACTACTTGAACAAGAACACGACCCCAGTGAAACCATCTCCAAGGACAACATGCTCAAACTATTGGACCTATGCCTGACCACCCACTTCACCTTCAACAGCCAAACATACGAGCAAATCAACGGGACACCCATGGGATCACCTATTTCCGGACTCATAGCAGAAGCAGTGATGCAAAGACTGGAAAGGACTGCCCTTCCGCAAATCCAACCAAAACTGTGGATACACTATGTAGACAACACCTTTGTCATCATTAGACGGACCAAATTAGAAGAGACACACAAACTTATAAACAACACCCTCACTGGAATAAGATTCACCAGAGAGGAGGAGAAGAACAAACAGCTCCCATTCCTGGACGTCATGGTAGAGCGCAAGACAAATGGGGAACTGCAAATGAAAGTACACCAAAAAGCCACACACACAGACCAGGTACTGAACTTCAACAGTAACCATCCCAGCACACAAACGAAGCTGCGTGTGAACACTATTTAAAAGGGCAACAACACACTGCAGCAACAAGGAATTACGTCGAGAGGAAGAAGAATACCTCTTCCAAGTGTTCAAGGATAATGGATATCCAAAGAACTGGGTTAGAAGATGCCTACACGAACAGTATCAGAAAGATTCTACACGCCCCAACACACTCATCACACTACCCTACATCAGGAACACGTCGGAACTCACCACAAGACTCCTGCGACCGCTGGGCATCAGAGTGGCACACAAGCCCATGTCAACCCTACGACAACAGTTCACCTGAACTAAAGACCCACTCCCCGCCATGGACAGGACCAATGTCATCTACAAAATCCTCTGCAGAGACGGTGAGAAACACTACATTGGACAAACAGGAAGGAAACTAACAACAAGAGTACATTTTCTGAAGAAGGGTCTAGGCCCGAAACGTCAGCCTTCCTGCTCCTCTAATGCTGCTTGGCCTGCTGTGTTCATCCAGCTCTAGACCTTGTTATCTTACATGAACACAAACTGGCTACAAAAAGACACGACCAATACTCACTCATCTCAATCCACATGGACAAGGAGAACCACGACTTCGACTGGGACAACACCAAGATCCTGGGACAGGCTAGGCAGAGACAAGCACGAGAATTCCTGGAAGCATGGCAATCCACGAAGCATGCTATTAATAAACACATTGAACTCGACCCCATATACATTCCACTATGAAGGAAAACCGGAAGTGAGGCAATCCATTTCAACAGACCCCAGAGTTTAAAAACCAGGCGGGAAAACACACCGACGCTTCATCGGAGGCTGCACTGAGGATGTTACCAAGCATGGTAAAGAAACGTCTGCAAAACAACAAACCAGCTCGGCGAGCCAATGAACCTCAACAACCTGCATAATCTTAATTTGGCTGTTAGTGTTATTCTTAACATATGATCATATCCAGGAATTGATCTTTGTAAAAATTTAAACAGAAGTATGGGAAACTATCTCCCTGGTACATTCTGCATGGCACTATTTTGATCAATTGGAGTTGACTTACAAACCAATTTCAAATCCCTTTGCTGTTGCAGTTGCCTCTTCATAATTTGGCACTCTTGCATCCGACCTGAGGGTTGAAGAGCAAATAGCACTTCTCTCTTGTTCAGCAATGTTCAAATTCTGTATCACCAGGCAATTACATAGAAAATACATGGATAGGGGTTATGCATTTTTGTTTTCATGATTTTGTCACTGTAACCTCAGTTATATTTCAAATTTGGAGATCAAATGAAAGTCAGTGTGTAATGAATTTTCCCCCTGAAACTTTAAGACTGACTTTTTTTTGTTGTTTCTGTAAGCATGCAGTTGATTTAATTTGTATCGGCCGGTTGCTAAAGTGAATATTTTTGCTGTTTCTTGTAAGACATTTTGCAACAAGTAGAGAACCTTTTGATGAGCTCCTGTATTAAAATGATAGGGTTAGAGTTTCTATTTGCTTCAGTGGATTTAGCAAATATGGCGTAAAATGTGTCTGCAAGTTAAAATATGAGTTATGCTCACAAACATCCCGTCAAATTTTCTTATGGCCAGCTGCCCTTCCATTCCATCCGCCACCATCTTGGCTGCATTTTCCTCATTGCTGTAGCTGTCTACAAACTTTCCACCCTTGACTTTGTGAACTTTCAGTGACATAAATGATATGATGAGGAAAATTGACAACATCACAAAGCTCTGACTGAACATCCTGAATTTGATCTGTGGTAGTTTGCCGGTTAAGAATTCCTTTGCACTTTAGTGCTCTTGCACAGATCGTCTCTAAGCATTCCATAAGCATTCATTTCATTGATAGGCACACTTTTATGATTTTTTAAATTTTTGCTCAGGACCTGATGAGTTTAAACTGTTAAGTAATTCAGTATAGTTAGTTTAAGTTATTTTCGGTGATTTTTAAATTTATTTGTAAATGTGTAGGAATGGGCAATAACTGGCCTAACCAGCGATGCCTATACTCCTTGAATTTTTTTTTAAAAAATAGACACTATTAATAAAATTCTCATTTTTGATGCAACCATTTTCAGCTGTATTAATAAATTTGTACCAGATTACCAGTTTTGAATACTTATTTTCCAGAAAGAAAAGACAGAATAGTTATAATCTCTAAGATAGCTGATTGCAATGGTTCATGGAAAATTTTAAGTGTTTGATAAAGCCTGATTTTATTGGAAACTTGCACTGTCGTCCAAAAATTGCATTTTGCACAACTTCAAAACTGCACCCAAAGCCTGAATCATTTTAAAATCCTCAACAGGAGTGCGATTTAATTATGTCCTGTCCCAGACATTTTCCACATTTTCAGAATTATTAGAATATAAAATGTAGAGCTTGATATTATCCCCTCTAGACTGATCTGAAAAATCCAAGACCTTCGTCTCAGCTGTGCCCTCTGTAACTGGATCCTTAGCTTTCTGACCCACAGGCTGTAATCAGTGAGGATAGGTAACTGCACCTCCTCCACAGTAACACTCAACACTGGAGCTCCCCAAGGATGCGTCCTCAGCGCCCTACTATACTCCCTGTACATCCACCACTGTGTTGCCAAATTCCAAATGAACTCCATCTGCAAGTTTGCTGATGATACCACTGTAGTAGCACAGATAACTAATGACGACGATTCAAAATACAGAGGGGAGATAGAGGGCTTGATGACGTGGTGCGACCTCTCTCTCAATGTCTGCAAAACAAAAGAACTGATCATTGACTTCAGAGAGAAAGGAGGAGAGCACACCCCCATGTACATCAACGGAACTGAGGGTAAGAGGGTGGAGAGCATCAAGTTCCTCAGTGACGATAACCACCGACCTGTCTTGGACTTCCGATGTGGATGTGACAGATGAGAAGGCACAACAACGCTGCCTCTTCCTCAGGCGGCTCAGGAAATTTGGCATGTCCATAAGGTCCCTCACCAACTTCTACAGATGCACCATTGAAAGCATACTGTCTGGGTGCATAACTGCCTGGTATGGCAACTGCTCTGCCCAGGACCATAAGAAACTACAGAAGGCGGTGTGCACAGCCCAGACCATCACAGAAGCCAACCTTCCATCCATGTCTCCATTTACACTGCTCACTGCCGCAGAAAGGCTGCCAACATCATCAAAGACCCATCGCACCCTGGTAATGATCTCCAACAACTTCTTCCATCAGGCAGAAGATACAGAAGCTTGAACACATGCACCAGCAGGTTCAAGAACAGCTTCTTCCTGGTCATTATTAGACTGATGAATGGACTTTCTAGCCTCAAATAATACTGACCTTGCCAACATTGATCTTGCCTAGCGCGCACACTGTGCAATGTAACCTGTATGCCTCTAAGATTCTTTTTCCAAACTTTGATCTGTACAGCTTTGCTCACTATGATCTGCCTGTACTGATTGTGAACAAAACTTTTTTCACGTACTCCAGTACACATGACAATAAATCAATCAATCAATTATAGCAAACTGTTCTTGTTAAACTGAAAAAATTTTCCTCTTCCTGTACTAACCTGTGCTGATTTATATTCAGCAGCTATTTCTGTATTTCATATATTAGTTGTGTGAGTAGAAAGAAACCTAAAAAAAAATTCTACTTCTGTATTTTTGAGCATTTTTAATGAATTTTATACGTCGTTCTCTCTCCTCCCACTCTCTGTCAGGTTTTAAATATTGCATACTGTGCAAATTAAATTGCATCTCTTTGAGCTGGACAACTCTCTGAGCCTGTTCATTACAATGTCAAATGATGGTCTGCTTTGATTATGGTATTACATCTGCTGTGTTCACTGTAGGCCCTCTCAATGCTGCAGATATCAAAACCGAGCACTTCTGACCCACGAAGTACAAATATACACCGAGTTTTCCATTTTTACAAATTTGTAAAGTCAGTTGCAATTAATGACATTTAATATTCAGCCCAAAAGGTCAATGACAAGTCATGGCAAGTTTTCCAGTAAGTATCTTGACTGTTTGTTTTTTTTTGCATTTTTATCCTTGATTATGTTGACTGACCTTCACAGCATCAGATCTTGTTTTGAATTGGAATCACAAATATTTGTACAATTAAAATGTCTCTTTGAATTTCCTATTTAATAGTCTAATTTGCTTCAAAGCCATGCAACTTTCATTGTTCTGAGGAAGGGTCACCAGACCCGAAACATTAACGCTGATTTTTTTTCTTCATAGATGCTGCCAGACCTGCTGTGCTTTTCCAGCAACTTCTGTTTTTGCTTCATTGTTCAGTTGTTTCCCTGAGTCGTTGTGCAGTATAGAAACAGTAACCTATTCCACTATTTAATTAGATCATGGCTGAGCTATATCTTAACTCCATCTATCTGCTTATGTTCCATGTCACTTCATATCCTTGCCTAACAAAAAACTGTAAGTTATAATGAAAATATTCAAAATACAAGACCTTTCTTTTCACATTGAGAACAAAAACAGCAAATCCTTCGAGTAAAAACTGAAAGAACTGCGGATGCTGTAAATCAGAAACAAAAACGGAAATTGCTGGAAAAACTCAGCAGGTCTGGCAACATCTGTGGAGACAAGTCAGCGTTAACCTTTCAGGTTGAGTGAACCTTCCTCGCAACTGGAAAGGTCACACCACCTGAAACGTTAACTCTGACTTCTTTCCACAAATGCTGCTTTTCCAGCAATTTCTGTTTTTATTTCAAATTCTTTTGAATGTGATTGTTGAGATGCTGAAAAGCATTGTTATGGATATTGAAGTTATTGCTGCTTTTATATTTTAGGATCATATTCTGATAGAGTTGACCAAGTCTGGACTGAAGAAGCTAAAGACTGGAGAAGGGGATGATGCCATTGAAGAAGATGATCCCTTCTTAGTAGTTAATCCAAACTATGTTCTAGAAGATTAGTGCATTTTGAAAATACATTACTAGATGATTAGCTCTTGAAGCTTGCACTTCAATTAAAATGTATATGTGGTGAAACTAATTATAGTTATTATTAATTTTGCAGTGGTATATCCATTAGTATTGAGATTCAACAAGGCATAGAACTTGGCAATTAATTTATTTCACTTTTGTACTATGGAAGCATTTAGATTGGTACTGAATATCTCTTCAGAAATAAAACGATGAATGCTTCCATTCCAGAGTAGTCCCTAACTATTTGTGTAAAATCTTTGTTTAATTATCAGAAAATAAAGGACTGAATTACTTTCTCACAAAGCTGTTGTGTTTTATGGTTTAAAAAAAATAAAGTTCTAAACCAAGAGAAAATGAAGAAAAAAAGTTGATAAATTTACATCAGTTCAGGAGTGAAGATGGGACCAAATACATTCATTTCAATACTACCCATCCTGAAGTCTGGCTATTGCAGTACTTGCTTGCTCATATACCTCCGTATTCATCGCCGTGAAACAGATTCTAGCTATTTCTGTTCTTGAAACAGTATCTAAGTTCTCAAAATAGTCTTTTGGGGATGAACAAATCAACATCATGTTCATTCTTCTGTTTTTTTTTCCATTCTGGAAACCCCTAATATTCCTTTTTTAATGATTTTCTTGTTAATTTTCCTCTGTGTTTCAACATTCAGATTTAATATAATATGGAATTAGCATTGCTTCATTATGTCTTTCTATTGTTTGTGCTTAACCTTCCTTAACCATCTTAATCTTCCAGGTTTAGTGAATGCAATGTCAATTCTTTTGATGCCTTTGCTACTCATTCTCTGTCCCTAACTCTCCAAAATAGGCAAATGTTTCCACATTCCAATAAGTTTGTCTGAATGTAACCATGTGATATGTGTTTGAGTTGTTCTTTAGCTTACTTTTCATGCAATAATTCAATTACTTATCTTGCAACTTGCCTCAGCAGCTTAATGAATAATCTCTGGATTTTTAATCTGGTTTTCCCCTATCAATTCTTCCTTTCCTTTCTCAAAAAAAACCATTGATATTAGAGGCTTCTATCATGCTTCAGGCACTTTCTCTTCAGAAAAGTTGTTAATCAGCCTTTGCATCTTAAAACTAAACCTTTTTTGCCTTCTGTAACAACACGATAGTTTTATAGCCTAGATATTCTGATGGCTATTGTTAGGACAGGGTAGGCTAGAGTTGTGCATCTGGACCATGTGGCATTCCAGATGTAGCAGAATGCTTGGGAAATACCTAGGAAATTGACCTTTATAACAGGCAATTCCCATATCTCTGCATTGTTATGATGCTGTCACTTTAAAAAAAAATGTTTTCTCCTTGTTTTGTTTTTGAAGAGACGTTATAAAGCAGAGGTGCCAAAAATGGCCTAAGTAAATAATTTAGGAGGCCTTTAGGTTGTTTTTTTTAAACAGTTGGAACAGTGGAAGGGGAGTGGCCAGCTCTCTCAGATCAGGCTTTCTAGTTTTTTTTTAGCTGCAGCTGCCAGAAGCGGCCCCAGAAAAGTTAGAAGCTTCAGTAAATGATTCCCAGCTGCTACTTCTCTGAAATATCTCTTGACCTTGTTTCTCCCTGGAATAAAGAACTGCATGTAAGAATCTGGGTCTGAATTTGCCTTTTTGCCAAGGGATGTGTTTATGGAATGTTACTATATTAGAACAGTTAGTTAGTAATAGGTACTGTATCTATTATTTGGTTATGTCTTCCCATAGTTAATTTATTCTAAATTCATCTTTTGTTTGTATTTTAAATAGTGTTTAAATTGTGTTTTGTTTAGCATCGAGTAGTTTGACCAGTTGCATCACACCTAGAACATGCACTTCACATTTACCTTTAAAATAAAAAAGTTAGGGCCTGGGCTATCATCTTCAAAATATTTTGAGAGGGTCTGGTCTGATCCATAACAGGAGCCTTTTGAAAGAGTCCATTAAAGTCTGAACATTTTTTCAGTATCTGACTTGGTTAAGCTAATTGTTAACCTGGAACGGTTAGAGGATTTAAAAATCTACTATAACTCCTGGGTAATTAGTTAACTGAATACTTGACTGACTGTTCAACACCCCATCTACACCACCCAATGCCTTGTGCAACCTGATGTCGTTGACCCGTGCTCACGTCCTGAAACAACAGGCAACCCCCATTTGCATCTAAAACCCACCTCTATCCCAAGCAACAACACCCCTTCCCAGCGGCTTGATGACCCCTGTCAATCAGACCAAACACCACCCTCCACCAACTTGCCCTAAGGATTCCGTTCCCTCACCTACCTGGCACCTTGACAGCCTATCCACCTGGCACCTTACCCTCATGTTTACCTCACATATTTAACCTTTCAAAGTGTTGGCATTAAAATCTCAGAGCATGACAACTGACTGCTGCCAAAAAAAAGTACGTGGCTTTTCCAAAGAGCTTAGTGCTGAATTTATGGATTACTGGGCAATAACAGGAGGCCCCTGTCCAGGAATCACCACAGCAGAAGCCATCTATCATTAAGTTGGTAAGTTTTAATTTGATCAGGGACTCAAATGGGGGATGGATGGGGGAGTGCAGTGAGCTTCTTGAGTGTTGTTGGGGTTGCACTCTTTCATATGAGTGGAGAGTATTCCTTCAGTCCAAAGATGTGCAGGTTAAGTGGATTATCCATGGGAAATGCAGGGTTACAGGTATAGGGTGGAGTGTGGGATACACTTCGGAGGGTCAGTGTGGACTCAAGGTGCCAAACGGCCTGCTTCCACACTGTAGAGATTCACATTGTTGATGAGAGTCTTGTGGATGGTGGACAGCCTTTGGGCAATCAGGTAGTGGCTTCTTGCTGCAGCATTTACAGCCTCAGACATGCTTTTGTAGTCACTGTGTTTATGTGGCTAGTCCAGTTCAGTTTATGGTCAAAGACAGTGCCCTGGGTATTTGTATTGGATGATTTGGCGATGGTAATGCCATGAGAGTCTCTCTTGCTGGAGATGGTCATTGCCTAGTAAGTATGTGGTGCTAATGCCACTTGCCACTTGTCAACCCAAGCCTAGATAATATTCGTGTCTTACTGCATTTGGGCATGTTGCATTTGGACAGTATCTGAGGAGTGGCCAATAACGCTGAACATTGTGTAATCAGAAGAGATTAATCCCCACATGTGACCATATGATGATGGAAATGTCTCCACAATGACTCTCCAGTTTTCACTCCTATTGTCACTGTCATGGACAGATATATCTGCAGCAGGTAGGTTGCTGAGGATAAGGTCAAGTATGGTTTTCTTCCTTGTTGTTTCTCTTGCCAACTGCTGCACGCCCAGTCTAGCAACTATATCCTTTTAAAATTAGCCGGCTCAATCAGTAGTGATGCTGCTGAGTTTATTAAATAGACTAAGTGTTGTTTGGTCTGTTGATTTATTCCTGAAAGACGTTTGAGAATCAAAAGATGAATGAGAGGGCAGGACTTACAACAATCACCATTACCAGGAGAGAGGTTCCAGGAAAACTATTGGATCCAAAGTCTGACAAGTCTCCAGGACCATGTGGCATCTGGGGCTCTTAAAGGAAGTAGCTGTGGAGATTGTAAATGCATTGGTTATAATTTTCTACAGTTCCTTTAGGTCTTAGAATCATCCCAGTAGATTGGAAAATACTGCAACTAATACCTTGCATACAAAAAAGGAGGGAGACAGAAAGTAGGAAACTTTCGACCAGTTTGGCTAGCATTTGTCACAGGGAAATCCATTACTAAGGAGGTTATAGCAGGCTTAGAAAAATCATAATGTGATCAAATATAGTCAACAGGGTTTTGCGAAGGGAAAGTCATGTTTAATTAGTTCAAATTTTCTGAGAAAGTAACAAACAAGATGGATAAAGGGGACCCTGTGTACTTGGATTTCCAAAAAGGCATTTGATAACATATCACATCAACATTTGCTGCACGCAATAAGAGCTAATGATGCAAGAGAATACATATTACTATGGATAAAAGAGTGGTTAACTCTGGGGTGGAAGCAGAGTAGCAGCAAAGACTGGGTCTTTTTCATGTTGGCAAGATGTAAATAGTGAAGTGCTACTGCATCAGTGCTGCTTCAACAATTGACAATTTATATGAACAACTGGGATGTGGGAATCCAATACAAGGTCCAATGTATGTTAGATAAGAAATTAGGTTGCTCAGAGCAGGGAGAGTCAGAAAAGGAATAGAGATAATTTGAGATTGCATGGCAAAAAATTTGCAGATGTGATACAATTTGGGAAGTGTGAACTTCTAATTGAGGCTGACAGAAAGACTTCGCTGAGGAGCATTCTGGGAGAAGTTGGCTCAGTCACCACAATTGAACAATGGAGTGGAGGAGAACACCACTGGTGATAAGCAGGAGAAAGAGTATCCAACCGAGGATGACAGAGAGAGTTTGTTGAAGTGTATTCTGGGACTCTGCTTCCCCTTCACCATCAGGACAGACTACCTGAAGGTGCTGGGTGTCTGGTTTGGAGGAGCTGGGGCGTGCACTAAAACTTGGGAGGAGCGCATCTCGAAGCTGCGGCAGAAGCTGGGCAGGTGGGTGCACCGGTCTCTCTCCATTGCGGGTAAAAACCTGGTCGTCAGGTGTGAGGGGCTTTCGGTACTGTTGTAC